TTCATGAAACAACCCAAGCTACACGTGGAGCACACCCGGGAACGAACAAGTTCGGTCTCCTAGCAACAGGAATCGAATAAACCACTAGAAAGCAGCAGTGTCAAACAACCACCACAAGGTGGTGCCAAAACACAGCCAAGAAAACACATACACAACAGATATACACCAAAAACACACATCAAGGACAGAACACTCCCCGCCTGGGGTTTTTAAACCCCAGATCAATCAACAAGAATCAGTCTTTGGAGACAGAAGCAGGACCACTTCTGTAACAGGACGAGAAAAGATCCTTTTGGTCTTGTCCTTGGAGATCTCTACCTCGATCTTACGAACCAGTCCATCCCTTCCTGGGAATGTCTTTGTGATGGTGGCCATAGGCCATTCGTTTCTCTGAGCCTGATTGTCTTTCAGGAGAACAATGTCCCCCTCTTGAAGGTTTGACCTCTTAGACCGCCACTTGTGACGAAACTGCAGAGTCTTGAGATATTCTTTTCTCCACCTACTCCAAAAGGTGTCCGCCAGGCTCTGAACTTGCTTCCACTGCTCTTTAAAGAGGTCTGCCTCTTCAAAGTTACCTGGAGGAGGTGGTGTAGAGCCTGTTTTGAGGGTCAGGAGCATTGCTGGGGTGAGGATGAGAGGTGACTCTGGATCTGAAGATACTGGAATGAGAGGTCTAGCATTGATGACTGCTGTCACCTCAGCCATGAGCGTAAGCAGAACTTCATGCGTCAAAGAAGACTTCTTCTGTTCAAGCAGCAGATAGTCAAGAATGCGACGAGCGATGCCAATCATCCGTTCCCATGCCCCACCCATGTGGGACGCATGTGGCGGGTTGAACACCCATGTGCAGTTCTGCGTGCTCAGGTACTTCTCCACGTTGTTGCCACTGGGATCTGTAGTCTTCATTTGCAACTCTCGAGAAGCGCCAACGAAGTTAGTGCCGCAGTCAGACCGTATTTGTTTTGCTGTGAACTCTAGAAAGTGGGCTTTCATCTGTGGCCGTTTTTCCAGCGTGCGTCTCAATGAAGCAAGACGATCTTGTGCTTGTTTCCTATTGTTAGGCAGCCTCTGTCTTGGTAACCGGAAAGGTAGTGGTCCCACCCAGCTCTTCGAGCGAACTGCCAACGACCACAAACTAGCCCCATCCGTAGAAGATATGAAGTTTCTTAAGATCATGGAAGCAGAGTTTCATCAAGACAGCTCGAAGAGCTGGGTGGGACCACTACCTTCCGGTTACCAAGACAGAGGCTGCCTAACAATAGGAAACAAGCACAAGATCGTCTTGCTTCATTGAGACGCACGCTGGAAAAACGGCCACAGATGAAAGCCCACTTTCTAGAGTTCACAGCAAAACAAATACGGTCTGACTGCGGCACTAACTTCGTTGGCGCTTCTCGAGAGTTGCAAATGAAGACTACAGATCCCAGTGGCAACAACGTGGAGTTTCAGTTTCAGTTTCTTTCGCCGGTCAAGATGTCCGTTAAAGTTTAAATCTTCCGGACAAAATTTGAAAAGTGCCGGTCAAAGGTCTTCTTTGTTATTTATTGAGCTTTAAAACAAATGAATACGACTCTATATAATAAAACACGGAGGACGGAGATCTCTTTTTCTCCCCCTCTTCTGACAGCCCAGCAGCTGATCAGAGCACGGCTACCCTCTCCTGCAGGGGGGCGTGGTCAGCAGAATCAGACCCGTAGACAGCAAACAGCACATAGAGCGAAATGAGGCATGGCTAAAATGCATGATCTGTTTGGTATTTTGAAAACAGAAACGTATAAATATACCTTATATAGGTATGGCCCTACAATATATCATTTAAATATAGCATGATAGGTCCACTTTAAGGAAAAAGATCAAGACTCTAGCTCTAATGCCAAACCTGTAAAAAATGGTAAGTAGAGGACTCAAGAGGAGCAGGCTTGATGCTGGCGTTGTTTCCCTGGAGCGCAACATTAAACGACGCAAGCCTTTTTACCTACGTTCGCAAAACTTCGTCAGGGTTCATTGTGCAGCAAAGTTCCTGACACCTCAAGAAAGATCCATCCAAGAAGGAGTCTTCTCCTTTATTCACATTAAAAAAAGAGATGTTTAACCTGTTTCACGCCTTCCCCCCGGTACCGGGCGGATAAACGCGTCATTTGCAGGAAACAACGTCTAAGGAATCTTAATATTGAATAAAACTATGAATGTGTTATATCCATGTAACGGGAAGAAACTCAGCTAACTGATCTTTTTAATTTTTTTTTTCAAAAAAACCCCACAATGCTAGCACTCAGCCTCTGAATTAGCCTCGACGAAAAAACGTAACCTACAAAGGCACATAAACTCACTCAGAACTCCCTTATTACTTATCCTAGATGCACAACCAAACACTATTTTTTGGTGTCCTGGAGACACTGAATCTAACGGTGCCCACCTCAACACTCAGTGATAAACATTCGCGACGCTATCAACGAAAGCGTACATCATCACATGTGGAGCCAAGAAGCTAAACATGTAAATATGGCTTACCTTGGTCAAAAGTGGTCTTCAATGGCATTAAAACGATAAAAAAACGATGCTGCAGTTAATCCATAGGTTCATCCTATGTGTCTGTGCCTTCTTTGAAATTATTTCTGATAATCCATAAGCAATACAACTGCGTTTTAGTTTCCAAACTCCAGAAGGAGACATTCCTCCAGTTTAGTTTCGCTTTCCACACGCGAAGCGGCAACATTTTTTCTTTACAATGTGTGTCTATGTGAGTCTCCTCCTTCGATTCTATTGGCTCTAATGGTCACAAGGGTATGTCAACCAACCAGATCGAGCAAGGGGGGCCAGAGATAGGTCAAATCCACCCAAATGACCCCAGATGGCCCAGTTTTTGGCTAAATCTCTCTAAAAAGGTCAAATTTCACTTGTTTTGCATCAATCTTGATACAGGGTACTTATTATATGTTGTACTTTGGATTCCTAAAGCTTTTAGTCTACTAACCCATCATCCAAGGGTAGTTTTCACTATCTGTAAAAAATAATTTTTGGACGGACACTATAATTTACAGTTTTTTACTATGTAAAATCTGAATTTTCTTTAAAATAAAAAACATTTATATTGATTCTGACACTTCTACATCCAACTCACAGGTTTATCATTACTTTGAGAAAAGATTATTAATTTAACCCTTTTAGAAGGGAAGATATGGTCATTTGTTCTGGGAATGTCATTTTCGAGCCTGAAACCTGAAAAACAGACTCAGAGTGGAACAGGTTAATGGCATAATGATCCTGGAACAGTTTTGTAACCTGATGCACTAAGTGACATTGTTGTGTTTGAGTTTGAGCCTTAACCACACTATCTGTATATTTTTATTATACAGAATTATACAGAGCCTTGCTCTGTTTTGAACCATTGTGTATGGAAGAACTGTGGAGTTTACTGTACATTTTTTATTTTAACATCAAAATGATTTTTTAATTGCAAATTGTATCATGTTATGTTTCATATGTACATACACCAAAATGTCAAAATGAATGAAAACAGTGACAAAAACTATTTGTTGGCTAAATCATATAATCTGTGTAAAAGTTGATTTAATGTGAGACAACAGTTACCAATCTAGAAATTGCACTGTAAACATTTATTTGGAGACGCGTTTGCGGCCAACTGATAAATGCAAGTAAAGCATTCATTGTCCTTGTAGCTCTGTTTTGTGTCAACACTTTTGCTGTTGAGAGTAAATTCAGTTTTTGATGATGGTCTCCTGAAACCTGTGAGGGTTAATGAGGGTTAATCAGAACAGTGAATTGTTGGCATGAATGTCAAAACAATGCGCTGAGGGACGCTTAAACACTCAATAGTGAGTCTCAACTGAAATGTTTTAATACTCACTCTGAACAAAGAAAAATACAAAAAATAGAAAATGAAGGGTATCATCTTGTAATGCAAATGTGACACATCTCAACTTCGTTATGTAACAGGGGTTATGTGGTACGAGGAATATGCTGTACATATGCCAAGATTTCTGGTGAAAGAGCAGATAATGCAGATGGAAGAGATATGCTTCAACACTCATGTACCAACAAGATCCTGACAGTTTACTGGAATATTCACCCACTAAATCTCCCTCATGACGTTCATTCACCTGTGATGATAATTGTATTGTTTTTTCTCTGAAATAATCCCACCAGTTCTACAAGATTTCTTCTCTCCATGATATTCACTATTTTCTGTCATAAGGAGGAACTGTTTTGCTGCCTCGATTGTTTGTGTTCCACACAGGTTTCAGGTGTCAAAATATTTTCGATAAAGCTGGAATGCATACAGTACCAGTATCATATAAGCAGAAAGCAATGAGTAGGAGGAACAACCGCTACAACAATATTTGAACTTTGTTGTTTCTCTCCACACTCTTCAAGGAGAAAGCCTGGGAGTTAACAGCAGATCAGAAAGGTTTCAACTAGGTTACATTTGTACATTTTCAAGTGGACTTACCGTTGTGGGCTTTAAAGAGATCAGCAGTAAGGTCAGTATGCAAATGTTACTTGTTAATATATTACACCTAAAATATATTTATTTTGGAGTCTGACCGAAACATTTCACGTCTAATACACATTTTTGGACTGAAATCTCTTTTATAAGTTTCCTGTATATTTTTATTAAAAATGTTAAATCAGTCAGAAAAAACTTAAATGTTAAGTTAAAAATACTCATGAACATGACTGTTTCTGATTTTGTTTTCCAACACAAAGACTGCAACTCTCTGTTGCTGTCTGTCCGGAGACAAGAACATTTTGAAGTTAAATATAGATTTTAGTTTTTAGAATAAAGTTCAAAAGTTCACAGTTTTCATATTTACAGTAAGTTGCCTTGTTAGTAATTTGTTGGTCTAAAACTGCACTAACACTCAGAATAATGTGTGAGACAATTTGGGAACATGTGCCCTCTACTTATAAGGAACTGTCCTTCCCATGTATAAGAGAAAAAAAGGAAATATTCGTCTAACATTTCAATGGTTGTCCTTTGACACTGATCAGAAAAACTTGAAATTAAAAGATATATCAGAAATGTGAAGCTTTCCCCTCTGTCTTATTTGGCAAATGGCATACAAATGAAATAGAAGTAGGGACAACATACAGGAAGTGAAACATTAATCTAGAAATTAGGTAAAGGTATTTCTTTTTTATTCATGTTCAGTCATTTTCCATTTGTCTGATGCACACAATTCAAACAGCGCACAAAAGTCTTATAGGGTGAAACATTTCAAGCATCTTTGTTATCAAGATGTGTAAAAAGTGATATCGTATCAATCCTTACCATCTGGAAAAAGGCAGTTAATGATCTTTTGAGGTCCATGTTTGCTGATAACATCACTTTCTATAAATATGTAGTGTAGATTTGGAGTAGCAGATAAGGTAAAAACATGTTTAACCTTTCGAAGCATTGACACACATTGGCACCTAATTCATTTTCTGTTCAAAAGGTTGTGTAAATGTCACAGTGGTCAAAGCCTCACTCAGATTCTTCTCAGGCTTTCCTGATGGCATCCAATATCACCACCACCATCTCCCAGCAGTCCTCCTCTTCGTCTGTTCCTCTGTCCATCAACCACATGGTCGGCATCGCCATCTTGACCCTGGCCTTTGTGCTGGGCTTCCCTGGGAACCTGTTTGTTGTTTGGACAGTGTTGTGCCGGGTGAAGAATCGCTCAGTGACCTGTTTGCTGGTGCTGAATCTGAGTATGGCGGATGCTTTCTTGCTGCTCAGCGCCCCTTTTTTCCTGCGCTACCTGGCTGGAGGACGAGGCTGGGGAGTTTGGCTCGGCAGCATGCAAGCTGGTGCATTACCTATCGAGTGTGAACATGTACGCGTCCATCTACCTCATCTGCCTGATGAGCATGGACCGGTGGCTGGCCGTGTCCAGGCCGTTTCTGTTCCAGACAATGAGAACCAAGCGCTCCCTCCTGATTCTTCTGCTTGTTGTCTGGGTGTTAGCGTTGCTCCTGTCAGTCCCGATGCCTTTCTACCGCAGGTGAGACAAAAATGTGTCTTTTCTTGAAATATATCAAGTTTCTCATTTTATAAAGGCTAGTTTGTAATGGTAATACTGTAATGAGGGCTGGTTAATCCATTCGAACATTGATTATGTTAATTTACAGACTGGATATGAGGAGTACTTTACCAAACAATATCACTTTGAGCTTCTGCGTGCCGTACCACTGGAAGAGCAAGAGTCACCGGGTCTTCCAGTACCTGTTTGAAACCATCGTGGGCTTCCTGCTGCCTTTCTCCCTCATCAACACCTGTAACTCCTCCGTCATCTGTCGTCTGCAGAGTGCCAAGTTCCAGGGCCGAGCACAAGGCAGCCGTCTCATCCTGATGGTCATCTGTACCTTTGCAGTATTCTGGCTGCCGTATCACATCGTCAACATCATAGAGGTGAGTTTTACTCATAATTTTGTTGATCAGAGTTTGACTTACATGGGCTAGAAATGTCTCCTGATTCTATTATATGCCATACATATGCTTTATGTGCAGGTATCGGACGTTTTCCCACGGGTTAAAACAAGACAATAATACAAGGATATGATGTTGTGGTGACCATGTCCACTTTCAATATACAGTCCATTGCTGTGGGCGACACTGGGAGGATCTGGGCGCTGTTGATCGCCTCCGGCCCTAGCTCCTCCTGCGTCTCCCCAGAACTTACTTCTATGCGCTTTGTTGTCATTTCCGCTGTCAAGCACCCAATTTTGACCCGGTGGATCCTTCAGCCCCTCTTGAAGGTTCTACCAGGGTGTTTCAGTTCTTGCATACATGTTCTGATGCTCAAACTTGGTCACCCTTTTTCAGTTAGATGCTCTCTCTGCTGCCTTGCTCTTGATGGCTCTTCTCCTGCATGCTCCCTTGATGCACAGCGTTCCATAGGTCCTGCTGAGTGCACTGGCATGCACCTGGTCTTCCAATTGATCCTGCGGCAGTCCTGAACTACATCCTGGTACTTTGCCCTCTTTCTCTCTCGCGCCTCCTCCATTCTTTTCCTCATAGGGCACAGCCCCATCAAGATGAGCTGTCTAGTGTCCTCAGAGCCCAATATGAGGTCTGGTTTCAGTGGACTTGATGCTGTGTGGTGGAATCTTCTGTTACCTTTCCAGGTCAACTGTCATCCCCCAGTCTCGGGCCATGGAGAGCCAAGTCCTTTGGTCTTTTCTTCAGCCGCTTACCCACCTAGTAACAACATGATGGGTTTTTCAGTAGCGTTGGTGTGCTTTCACTGATCTCCATGTGAAAGCATCTCCGTGTCGGATGGATGTTGCGCTCCCAAGTCTGGCCCTGCCCTGTGCCACACTCCCAATGAGGTCCTTGTGCTTCAACCAAGTCTCCGCCTGCTGGACTGCCTCGGTCTTCCTCAAATTCCTCCCTGTCCGCAGAACAATCCCTGTGCCTTCCACTTTGGAGTCCCTCGATCCTGTGTTCTTCAGATGTTCTCGTGACCATGCCACAATAAATTCCTCCTTGACCAAGCTGAAGGGGGAGCTTGAGCTTATTGCTGTTCCCATAAATCCCAATGCTGCTCAGGCCCCAGGGGAACTTCATAGATAAGCAGAGGCCAGAGGATTCACACTATGCAGCTGATTCTGCTTTGCTGTTTCTTCAATATTGTATTATGTGACTGAAAATCAACACTTCCTGCTGATATATTTCCATATTTAAAGTCCTACAGTGGCTCTTAGCTTTTTATATGAAACTGCTACAGATAAATACATCTTTTATTTTTTAACCCAAATTGAGAAAAGAGGGGCATAGTAAAACTGACTCTAATGAACAATTGAGCTGAGTATGACACTCTGACGCTCTTCTGCTCAATTGATGGAGTAAGAGCTGTGGAAATATCCATGAGGGTGAATTTACCAGAGCAGTTATGTGATTTATTTATTAATCTCCCCCCTCTTCTCCCTTCAACAGGTGGTGGGCCTTTTGCAGGACAGTAAATCCACTGTTACAGCCGCCCTTGCAGCCCGTCCAAATGTCACGGCATTCGCTTACTTCAGCAGTGCGGTCAATCCCATTGTGTACGTGTTTGCTAGCAGCTCCCACATTCGCCAGGTCGGCTTCAGCTTCATGGGCAAGCTCTTCGAGGACACCAGCTCGGAGAATAGGACCACGTCTACCTTCACCCGGACCGGACACATTAACCGCGGATGCTCTATACCGGAATGAGCGCGCCGCCCTGAACACCCCTGTCGATGAAACTGGGGAGGCTGTTCAAAAGCAAGGAAAAGGACATGAGTGGTGGGGTGGCGGGAAAAGAGGCGGACGAGCTTGAACTCAGGACACTGGCCATCCAACTAAACTGATTACACTGTGTTGACTCATGAGTTGAATTGTAAGAGATATTTCTTACATAACTTTTATATCAAGAAATATTCAAACAACTATTGTATGTATTTCCTTGTAAGCACTATCATATCATCATTTCATTTCATTTATTCGTTTATCTAAAGAGGGACAATGCACATTGATGAACATCTTTAACAATTAATGCTTCAAAATGTAAATATGCCGGATTTTAGCATTTAGCTAATTTCCATCCGTAGTCCCTCACATACAACATTTAAGAAGATGACATTTATATACATAGCAACAATAAATACATGATATGCAGAAAGAGCATGAGCAGCATATACAAGCATTAACCACATGGTAGTACAATGTAGCAGCTACGACGTATAAAGTGCAAGAGAAGATAAAAGAGCTACCTAACGTGCAAAAGGAGATACCCCTGTATTAAAGTGCATTTAGCGGTGATTGCACGTTTGTTTGTTTCTCAACCATTCTTTTAGTTGACCTTTGAAGTTATTGAGAGTGGGACAATCCAATATCTCAGTTGGGAGGCTATTCCAGAATGAGCTGCCTTTAATGGAGAGTACATTTTGTCCAAAAGTGGTCCGTCTGTGGTGGACTTCACAGTCTCCTCTGGTTTCTGACCTAGTGCAGCGTCCAGTGTGTTTTTTGTGGATAAATTCCCCTAAGGGAGGGGGGGCAGTCCATGTAAACATTTATAAAAAAAACAGATACTTTTAAAAGACTTAAAATTGTCAAAACTCAAGAAATGGTGTTTATCAAGGATGATACAGTGGTGGTATGAATTTGGCTTTCTGTCAAAAACTTTGATAGCTCTCTTGTACAGCTGTTCTATTGGTTTAAGGTTTGTGGCACAAGCAAACGACCAGTTTGTCCAACAGTATTCAATGTGGGATAGAATCATAGAGTGGAGTTATGACTTTGCAGCATTGACAGTTCAGTCAGACAACACACGTGTTTCTTTAACATGTTTATTAGAAGCAGCATATAGTTGAATTTGGCGTCTAGGCTCGGGCCTCATCACTCCACAGATATACATAGCACGATGAGTGATGATTAAATAACTAACCCCCCGAGCCTACAGGTGGAAGCTGGGGTGGAAGCTGGGGTGGTGGTGGGGCAGGCAAGCAGCAGCTACGTGGAAGTAGCTGCACAATAGCAGCAGCAAGCAATGCATAGAGAGAGATCTGGCAGGTTAAATAGAGCGGCATATTAAGGAGAGTCTGTTTGGTTGGTTGTAGTGTGGAATTAGCTACGAGCGAAAATATCTTAAGGCTGTTAGCACAGAACTCTAGCTATACCGATCGATATACTTATTGGATCTGCACAAACAAGCTTAGATAACATCCTGAGAGTCCACAGATTATAGAAATATAAGGATCATCACTGAGCGATCAGAACTCGTGACAGGGGAAGCAAATACAGACAACACACGAGTAGCTTTAGGTAGCAAAACACGGAGATATGCTTAGCTGTTATTCTGATCAAAAGTAGTGTTCAATGACATTAAAACGAGAAAAAACGCGGCTGAAGGTTAATCCATAGGTTATAGCAATGTGTCTGTTACTTGGAAAAAATTATTGATAATCCATAATTCCATTTTTATGCAAAGATCGGAGAAGAAAAATGTGCTACTAATGGTAGCCACCAGAGGTTAGCGCAGCTTCCGGTTTTTCTATGCGTCTCTCTCACTCCTTATTTGGTAACCTGTGTGTGTATGTGGAACTTTCCCTCGATGCCATTGGCTCTAGCGGTTAAAAAGAGATGTCAATCAGCAAAATCGACTAAGGGGGGCTATAGATATGGAAAATCCACCCCAAATGACCCCAGAGGTGGAGTTTTTTTTGCTAAACCTCTCTAAAAAGGTCAAATGTCACTTGTTTTGCATCAATCTTGATACAGGGTACTTATTATATGTTGTACTTTGGATTCCTAAAGCTTTTAGTCTACCATCCCATCATTCAAGGGTGGTTTTCACTATAAGTAAAAAATAATCTTTGGACGGACACTAAAATTGACAGTTTTTTACTATGTTCAATCTGAATTCTCTTTAAAATAAAACACATCTATATTGATCCTGACTTTTCTACATCCAACTCACAGGTTTATCATTACTTATCATAGAAAAAATATTTTGAATTTTCCCCTTTTAGAAGTGTAGTTATGGTCATTTGTTCTGGAAATGTCATTTTCGAGCCTGAGACCTGAAAAACAGGCTTGGGGTCTAACAGGTTAATTATATGTTTTAAATTTGAGTGTTTCCGATCCCCTAAACCTCCAGGGATGTACACAGTTTAATACTGGCAACTTCTTATTATGGGAAATACGAAAACGTCTTTTAAAACTACAATTCCCAGTAGAGACGTGCCATAGAACATGTTGCGAAACACACAATAGCCAGCCTGTGTAGTTCTGGGGACGGGGTGGGGGAGGGGGGTGGTGGACCCATTCGAATCCAGTTTTGGATCGTCTGCCGTGGTTCCATCCCATTTCAAAGTGCTGTTTGACGCTCGGCATAACCCTCGGCGCACTGCCACTCAAACATCCAGAGCTTGAGGACTAATCACGGGGTTTGTCGGTTTGTCAAGCGGAGAGAATACTTACTTCCGGGTGTAAAATTCTCTAAAGCAACTACTATGAGCTGCTCCGACCCTCGGTCCTGACGGACTCCAACTTGTGTTTATTAATCAAACAAATAAATAAACACAAGGATAATTGTGTCTTATTTTTGAGTAAATAACAGTGTGTGGTTTAGAAAAGAATACAAAATTAGAAGGAAAAAACGATGAAACAATACAGATTTCAGTATTCTGAGCCCCTACTCTCCCCCTAACTGACGGCAACAAAAGTCCTACATTATTCAATTAAAATAAAGAAGTAAAAACAATAAGTGTGGCTTGATATTGAGTAAGAAAAAGGTTGATAAACGCTGTGAGAATGGATCTGCGGAGAGCATTTCGCCGCGATCCCAACTCGTCTATTACCAACGTTCAGGGAGCTCTATGCAAGTCAATGGGACTCCCTGATAGTTGAAACTTGACGCTAAAGGGCCGCCCCTTGCGTTGGAAAGTGATGACAGGGACCCTGACATAACGTCAACATAGGCCGAGTTGGGAGTGAGAATGTGTTGGTTAGTCCAAAAACATGCTTGGTTAGTTATTGTTTTAAATCATGCAGTTGCACTGATCACATGAAGACATACATGCACACTCACACTGTCTGGTTGTAAAGTCAAGTTTGGTCAGGTACACCCCAGAGTCAGTCCTTGACAGTGCTTTTTTCAAGTAACACTGTCAGTCAGGGTCAAAGGTAATTTGCTCTCAGTTTCTTTTTTTTCTTTTTTTTTTGCCATGTGTCAAGCTCTGCAGAGACTTTGATATTTCAGCATAGGCCAGTATCCTTTGTCTACACAAATCTGTCATATATGCGCCATCATTTATTAATTCACGATTACAACTATAATTTTCAAGACATCTCTAACTTTTCATTGGGACAGCTGTTTCCCACATTTCCTGAAATTTGTTAGCCAACATTTTCACTTCCTTATAGTACTACTACTGCAGTTTATTAACACCTAATCTATATTCAAATGTCTAATAGATCTATTTCAGAAACTTGTGCATATAATTATTTTCTTGAGTCAAAACATTATTAGGATCTGTGTAGCTCTGCCATGTATTTCATAATTCATTATATTAATTTATCTTCAATTCTGATCTACTTAAAGAAAAACCTTTAACCTCCCTAACAGTGTGTGGAACCTTGGGTGTCCGAACATGTAACAATCACTCCTTCCTTTATCAAGGATTTAAAAACAGAAGTCATTTCATCAATAGTTTGTAGTTTTTTTTATTTAAATTGTAAATTTAATAGAATTTAGGAGTTTTCACTATGGCAGGTATATTTTTATAAATAACATCTCTAAATTTCAGGTCATCACTTATTAAATGGATGTCCATTAGGAGGTGGTGACACTTGTCTTTTAAACTCATAATCTGGTGCCATGCACTCCCTTTAAAGCTGCAAGTAAGATTTTTTTTAAAACCACTGCAGGGTGGGTTGAGTGACCCCTTCTCCTTATTGGTTGTCAATAATATGCACCTTTACAATGGGTGATCCAAGGCCCCACATCTTTTCCAATTATATTGCTTTTTCAAAATTAAATGTTGCTGTTTTTTATTTTTATTTTATTTTAAACTCTACATCTTGGACTACAAACGACAGTTATTTCCACATTTAAAGTTCTCCTATAGTAATATATGGTACAATGGTGAAACCAATACCTCAAATTGAAATTTAATTTATATTTTGTTTAGTACTAGCTTTCCCTTTATCATGACCTATATAAATAAATATGTCTGATTTTAACAAATTTATATGACAGATTGGGTACTAAAACTCTCCGTTTTAAACTGTAGATCAATACTCTAACAAATTAAAACACTACCGAATTCACACATGAATAAAAACTTTAAAAGAATCATTTGTAAACATGATGAAAAGATTGAAGAATATGTTCTACTCTGTACTCCTAACTCCAGAACACCCACTGCTTAAAGTGTAGTGAATATTTCCATCATTTGTCTCCCCCTTTATCCCACAGTACCTTCAGTGTGTTTAGGTTCATTTTCTCATTTTACTTTAATAGTTTCCTCTTTACTGCTATTTTTTATTTACCAATTGATTAATTCATGGGTAATACAACTTTTTATCTTTACTTATTTATCAAGTAAATTAAATTTCTTTAAATTTGGTTCTTTTTATGTGCGTTTGTGAATAAGTGTGTTTATGTGCAAACTCACTCATTCCGATTGATTCCCTTCCCGTCTCCTCTGGTTTACCTCCTCACATTCTGCTCGACCAACTCCTCTGATTCTGACTTCTCCCCCTTTGTCCATCAGCTCTTTAATCCATCCGCTGTAACACTTTTATGCAGCCATCTGCCCAGTTACATCTGCAGCCACTCATCATGCCACTGTTCTTGTACTGCTTTGCATTTCATCTCCTCCTTTCATCTCCTCCTTTACAGTCTCTTTGCTGTTTTATGGAGCTTTGGTTCTGGCTGCCACAGGTGGAGATTGCTCTGGATGCAGTTCTGGATGCAGTCTTGTTGTTGTTGTTGTTGGTTCAGCTCTGGTTCTCTGTCTGTTCGATGGAGAAGGAGGAGTCTCCTGCTTGGGTCAGGTCTTTGTTTGCTCAGGCGGATCGGGGTCTTAGCCGTCTGACAGGCAGAAGGACAGTCCAGGTCTCGGGACGCAGTACCTTCTAGCACACTGAGGTTAAATAAATTCAACCCTTTCCACTCTGTCTTTTTCTAATCATACTATCTGTCTTGGTTGTTAAATGCCATCTTAATAACAAAATGAATGTGTCCTAATGATATAGATCAAAATTAAATGATAAGTGAGATTTGTATAGATATCAGGGAATTCAATTTATATAATTATTA